CTGCTAAGTGAGTGGAGGTGTGGGTGTGCTTAACAATCCTGCCGGGCCGCTGCTCCAGTGTTTATATACACATGGCTCTGTGCCCATCTGAAGTGAAACACCCTCTTCTGCGACCTCCCTGAGCCCCGGCCCAGGTCCAGCCTGTGCCCACAGCGGACTTCTGGTGCCTGGAGAGAGGGCAAAGGCTGCCTCTGTTTGCCTAGCATCGCCTTTGGGAAGGAGGGGCTGCTGGAAGGGCATTAGGCTGGCAGTCCCCCGGACAGCCCCAGACACCCAGGCACTAAGCTGGGCTCCTGCTTTAAGCTGTTTGCTTACAGACCCTGGTTAACCTCTGAGTAGCTGCGGAAAAGGGAAGCCTGCAACCGGGCTTTCTGCGGCTTGCGTTCCAGGGTAATTTTTTTTTTAATTATTTTATTTTAAGACTGATTATTTTTCACGTTTAAAAAAGAAGAGACAAAACTATAAAAATCCAACAGAAAAAATACTGTTTACTGCAAGTGCCTAATTATAAACTGACCAACAGAGCTAATTCCGCACCACTCCCAAGGGAAAAAATACCCTCTCAGTCTGTTGCTGCACCTGACCAAGACGTAATTTTTTTTTTAATTATTTTATTTTAAGACTGATTATTTTTCACGTTTAAAAAAGAAGAGACAAAACTATAAAAATCCAACAGAAAAAATACTGTTTACTGCAAGTGCCTAATTATAAACTGACCAACAGAGCTAATTCCGCACCACTCCCAAGGGAAAAAATACCCTCTCAGTCTGTTGCTGCACCTGACCAAGACCAATTAATCTACTGAAGACTCCTCAGTATGTGAGTTCCTGCCACGGCATCAGACCAGCAGCTGGGGACAGTCCTCTGAGGCCAGCCATGCTCTGGCCACACCAGGCAGCCGGCTTGGCAAGGTGGCCTCCCCCTGGGCCAGCAGGCAATGTGAGCGGGAGGGATGGCCACGGTTGTTTTGCCTTTGGGGTTGAAACACCTCCACCCAGCCCTCCAGGGCTTTAAAACTCCTGCCTTGCTTGGTACAGCAGCCATTTGTCTTGTTGGGGTCCCAGCATCTGCTGCTTACCCAGCGTTAGCGCAGCAGGCAGGGCTGGCTCGATGAAGGCTGCACAGCCCAGGCCCTTCTCCGCAGCATCCCTTCCCCGAGTTCCCCCGGGTGATGGTGTGCTTTTAAATATTGCTTGCTAAATATTGGTCCTCGAAGCAAAGGTCAGCAGTAAGTCATTTACAGGACTGCCTTCTGCTGAGACCAGCCCCTTGCCACAGCAACTGGCACTCTTTGCCAAGCAAGTTTTCAAGATATGGTATGTATCGGGTGCCTTTAACGACACAGGGCAAACAAGGCGGCGGAATTGGGTAAACCTCATGAAAACTGTGAGCCCGAAATCCCCTGCCCATTGTGGTCCCCGTGATGGGCTGCGTGCTGGTGGCGGGTGACAGAGAAGGGCGAGGCGGGCACACGGCTGCTCCCTGCCCTGGCTCTGAAGCAAGTTTTCAAGATATGGTATGTATCGGGTGCCTTTAACGACACAGGGCAAACAAGGCGGCGGAATTGGGTAAACCTCATGAAAACTGTGAGCCCGAAATCCCCTGCCCATTGTGGTCCCCGTGATGGGCTGCGTGCTGGTGGCGGGTGACAGAGAAGGGCGAGGCGGGCACACGGCTGCTCCCTGCCCTGGCTCTGCTGCGATGTTGGAGGGGGGGTCCAGGAGAAGCTGGGCAGCTTACACCTCCCTCGGAAACTCCCTTCAGTATTTGTACATTTACTCAAGTAATAATGCCAAATCCTATGTATGCAAGCTGTTGCTGGCTAATATTTAACCCTGAGACTCTAAGTTTGCGGAAGGAGGATGCTGGAGGGGGTGTGTGTTGTATTCGAGGGCTCTGCGGATGCAGGTCCTCGAAGTGGGAGGCACAAAGAGGAAGGCAAGCTTGAAAGCACCACCTGGGACCTGGCTGAACAAGACGCTTCATTAGAGCAAGCTCCATCCCTGATGGATACCTGGTGGGCCCTATTCTTAAGTGAGGACCAAGGGGGAGGTGTGAGGAACTTCTGCAGATGCTTTACGAGATTCCCGGGGTCTCCAAGTCTAGTGAACTGCCTTCGACTGCCCAAAGTGTCTACTCTATGACTTGAATTTATCAGAGTCATTTGGGTTTGGAAACCTGCATTTAATCTTGTTCTTTCAAAGCCTTCCTGAATTACAAACCTGATCAGAAAAGGTATTATAAATTTTCAGGCCACAGTATAATTCTGTTCTCCCTTTCTCACTGCCCCCTGCCCCCAAATAATAGATAAGGTTTCTGTCTCCACTTCAGCAATAAATATAAAAGAAAGAAATATAGACTCCTTTGGTAGCCAAATGTGTCAGCAATGTTGGAGGAAGGCTTCTGCAGGGTATTAGAGAGGGATGCCTAAATTTAAACTTAAAATGGAAAGCAGAATTAATGTATTGTTCCCTTGTGATGATTTCACACTGCTGACTGGTCAAGTTTGTTATTTACATCTGCAATTACTGACTGCAGTTGCCTAAGTTAATTAACATATTTATTAAACAGCACTATTTACAAGGGTATATAGTGATAAGACAAGGGGCAATGGCTTTAAACTAAAAGAAGGAAGATTTCGATTAGATATAAGGAAGAAATTTTTCACTCTGAGGGTGGTGAGGCACTGGAACAGGTTGTCCAGAGAAGTTGTGGATGCCCCATCCCTGGAAGTGTTCAAGGCCAAGTTGGACGAGGTGTTGAGCAACCTGGTGTAGTGGAGGGTGTCCCTGCCCATGGCAGGGGGGTTGGAACTGGATGATCTTTGAGGTCCCTTCCAACCCAAACCATTCTACGATTCTATGAATGGTATTAAGTGCTAATCGTGGTCTTACTATGTTATGGTAAGTGCACTGGGATCATGAGGGCACTTCTATTACTGTTTGGGGAAACCAAATGAATTCCCTGATCTCACTCCTTCACATGCATTTGGCATGTTACCTTCTCAAGCTCCGCTTCTCACCACTAGCAAGAGGCAGCACATGAGGGTGTTGGATACCGCTCCTGCAAACTCAGCTATACACACTACTGCCTGTCCAAAACTGCATAGAGAATAAATTTACTTGGAGCCTCAGGTCACTTGCTTGGGGCAATCAGTCTGTGCTGTTTGAGGGCTATTTTTTCAGATGAACTAGCTCCACTGAAAACAGAGTTCCCTTGCTCTGCACCGCCAAAGCACCTGGCCCTCAGGGATTACACTACCTCATGCTCTTGGGCTACTTGTTATTGAAAGACACTATTAGGTAAAAGGTTTCAGCTGAAGAGGAGAAGAATTTCTAAGGACTCCACAGTTTTTAATGACTTTTACCCAATGAGGTTTAAGATGTCAGATGTTCTTGTAGAAGCCAGGCTGTCCTTCATCCCATGGAGGCCATTCTTCCTCAAATGAAATATCCAGTCATCTCTGTGGATGTCACCACTAACTGCAAGGAGAGGTCTTTTGTCAGCACCAGCAGATTCAATGATGTTTTTGCTGCCCAGGCCAAGGGCTTTTCCCAAGAAGGGCGGAGGAAGCTTTCCTGCAATACTAATTTAGAGGTTTCCTAAAGGAACTGCCCCCCCTCAAAGGCTGGTTTATAGGAGGATGACTAAAGAGTCTCAAGGGTACAGAATGACAGTTTGGGTAGTGAGAGTTAGAAGAGAAAATAAGTTCTAAAGGGAAACGAAGTCCACATTAGCTGTTCAGAGGGAAAAAAAAAAAAACTTATCTTGGACTGCCACATGATTTGTGGTGACATAACCAGTTACACAGGCAGCAGAGTTAATGTGACAACATACTAAGTAAACAGTCTCATTTAGTATCATCTTGCATGGAAGGTCCGTCTGTGCCTTAGTGACGGGTTGCCCAGAGAAGCTGTGGATGCCTCATCCCTGGAAGTGTTCCAGGCCAGGCTGGATGAGGCTTTGAGCAACCTGGTGTAGTGGAGGGTGTCCCTGCCCATGGCAGGGGGGTTGGAACTAGATGATCTTTGAGGTCACTTCCAACCCATCTATCATTCTATGATACGGCCTAGTCCAACTTTGATGAGGAAAGTCAACATTATTATTATTTCCAATTTATAACTCAAGAAAGTTTTAAAAGTGGCTCCTTGTTTGAGAGTGTCCAGTATCTATCTCCTTGAACTTCACTGCTCCTGTGCCCTGGGTCTCATCTTGAGGGTGGCATTTCTGAAACGAGAACAGGCTGAATAAAGGCGTCTTATTTAAATACTGACACAACCTCAGGCTGCTTAGTTTATGAGATTCAACAAGACGTTTGGCTGCTTCATCCAACAGGAGGCCCAGGGAACACACATACACAGAGATGAACGCACTGATATCTCTGATATCCAAGATGAGCTCCTGAAAGGCATCTGAGTTCCCTGAAAAGGAGTGGCTAACGTAAATGTCTGCGTCCATTTAACAGGAAACCTTTTAGAGACAAAGCTGGAAGACCCCTGATACCAGCTGATACCAATGATGCCAAGATTCATGATAGTCGTCCAGACTCTGAAGCCATTAAAATATTTGTTTTGTCATGTCAGTGTTTTGACGTGTGTTGTTTACATTCATGGGCAGTCCTCAACAGAGCAAAATTACATTTTTCTTTTCTGCTTGTAAAGATAATGTAAACAGAGGTGTGTTCATAGCTCCTCCTGGGAGACAGAGGAAGGGATGGTCTGGGTAGGGAAGGCGTAATACAGACCAGGAGCACATAAAATTCTTATTCCACCTTTGCAAGTACATTTCAACCCTAACAACTGTAGACCAGCATCCTCTTTCAGCTCTGTCAGTATATGCCAGTGCTGCCTGTGTAGTCTGCTGTGCACTGTCATCTCTTCCAAACGCTGTCTGCTTTAGCTTCTCAGTTCCCTATTGTCCAGGCTTGGTTTTCCTTTTTTTTTTCCTCTGCTAAAAGTTTTCTTGCTTCTGCACTTGCCATCTCACACCTCTCTCCTTCCACCTTTTGTCCCAACGGACCACTTTCACCAACATCATCATAAATAGCTTGAAGACTCATGCTGGTACTGTCTCAAGCCTCGGGTACCAAAAGAGACAGAAAAGTGCTTTTTTATTGAAGGCCTCCATTGATAACAGCGGTCGGTTCTGTTTAGATCACGGAGCACTTGGGAGCTCTGAAACTTCCGCTTTTAAGAGGATGGCCAATTAGAGACTTCCTGAAGAAAAGAGGATATACGCTACACTCCCTCCGCTCCATTATCCAGATCGCTTTGTTAGGATGCGTCCAGCGTTCACACTAGTGTCTTTTATGTTTGGTATCTGAGTATATAAGAGAAAGTGAATAATGGGCTAAATTTTATGTGGTGTTGTCACTCCTTCAGGAAATGTGAAATCAAGCATTCCCTGAAGGTGCTACTACGATGATTCTCAATTTGCTTTCCTGTAGCCCTTCTGAAGGCTGGCCATGAGCTGTAGATTTACTAGGTCACTGCTGTAGATTTACTAGAAGAGGCACTGGAGAACAAGGGTTTAGCTGCTTTCTTTTCTGGACATCAACCAGCACTGCATATGGCAAGTTTTTAAGCACTCCTGGAATCCCTCTGCTGTTAGTCAGGCCAGGGTTTTGTTAACCTCCTCCCCGAGACACACAATTAAGCTTATCTTTAATAAAGTACGCTTTTGGGAAACTCTTTACCATTTCCCCAATCACAATCTGAATTATCAAGCCCAAGTTCAAGTACTGTAATTTATACAGTTAGTATCGTTCCATGGGCCCTTCAAAACCTCTCTCTTTCTATACATGCATAGACCCCTGCACCAACACTCATATTTGCCACCACTACCTTGGTTTTGTTTCATGACTCATCATCTCTTCACTGCTGTGGAAATAGGAGTTTTCCGAGTTTCATACTTTTTATATAAATGGTTTGGAAAAACAAATGAAAACCCATCAGGACAGTGAAAAGAGCTCCACCTTTCAGGAGGAAGAGAGGAGTCAGCTCTGCAATTTGTTCTGCTGGGAAGGCAATGCTCTGAGCTGGTCATTGTGGTCACCTAGTTGGTTTGTGTTTCTTTTCTGTCTGACCAGCCCCTAGCTGAGGGCATGCCGAGTGTATTACGTCGCATCTTCAGGCTCTGAGCTCATAGTGGGTAACCCACCACATCTGCAGTCCCAAGGCCAGTTCTTTTCTCCCTTACATGACAAGGATTTATCTGATCAAAGCCTGCACCTTTGCGCCCAAGGACAGGTTAGGTAAGGGCTGGATGCTGCTGTGCTCTGAACGCTGAATAGCCTGGTGTGACCAACAGCCCTCAAGTCACAGCAAGGAACTGTCAACATGGGAAGCTCCCAGCCCCATAGAGATCTCCTCAGTTCCCAGTAAAACTGCCTCTTTTCCGTTCAGCAAATAATCCTGACGAGGAGTTTTGGCTATGATTTCATGTAGTCATTTGCTTACAAGTACAGGAAAATTTCAACCTTTACCTGGCTCTCCGGCCTGTTTCTCATACCAGACCTGGTATTTACAGCAAACTTAAGACCACGCTGAAGGACATAGATAGCATAACTATAATTTTAAGTGCTAATTAATCATTAGTGTGTTGTTGGTTGTGACATGGTGGAACGAGATAGCAGGCTTCATGGGTGCCAGTCACCATCTGGGAGTTCAGGAGTTCACCCAGTTCCCAGCACACCAAGAAACAGCCTACAATAAGAACACTTGTACAGTTAGCAGGAAAAAAAATCTGCAATGATAAGTAGATAAATTCACATAGGGTATTTGGCTTCTAGGCTGGGCAGCAAAAAGTAGGTCAACTCAGTACAGCTCTAGTTAAAATGGCTACATTCATCCTCAGTGCATTTTCCCCACAGTTAAGCACTCATCCTTCCCACTTTGCTCCATTGTACATTCGGAAGTCGAGTATTTGCATTGTCTTTTTTTGCATCTTGTCCCCATGCATCTATCCCACTGGACGTCAAGTCTCCGATCTCTATCACAGTCATATTTGTACATCAAGCAGCATTCGTCTCTGCCTGGAGACACTCTTCTTGTTCCAAACAGCTCTGATACGTGTTGTGATGAGCTCCTGAAGTCTCTGGCATAAGATTTACTGAAGTTTTCAGTAACTTCATAAGCGATGCTGTATTGGACACTCAATCCACAGCGATATTTTGGGACACATGAGAAGAAGATGAGGCTTCTCTTTTCTCCAGTCAGAAAAAGAAGTGTGAAGAGTGGTAAAGCTCATGTCACTTCTTTGCCTGCTCGCAGTTTCTTCCTGGCTTCTGCCTGGAAATTGGCTCACCAGCAGCTCAATAGATATTTACTCCTACTTCTATTGGGCCGAGGGCATAGATTTGCTTGGTTCTCACATTCTCCTGTTGGGCAGGCAGCATATTAAAACATGACAAAGGCTACAGATGTGGGCTTTTTGTGGTGACTTTTCCAGACTTGTGTCACAGACTCTGTTGACAAGCAAGTCTGCCATGTGTGATGTCGCACTTATTCCTCAAACATTTTAGTTTTGCTTTGTTGGCTTCCTCTAGGAGACACAAGAATCATTCAACCAGTTGTCCTCACAGCCCTACACATTTTCATGGCAGATGACCTTCTGATATAATAGCTAGTGTGCTGTGAGGGTTCATATATACCCTACATCAGATCCTCAGAGGCATTCTCAACCCCTCTGTCCTGCTACTAGCATTCTTAAAAGAAGGACATGGACCTGTTGGAGCAGGTCCAGAGGAGGGCCACAAAGATGATCCAAGGGCTGGAGCACCTCTCCTGTGAAGACAGGCTGAGAGAGTTGTGGCTGTTCAGCCTGGAGAAGAGAAGGCTCCGGGGTGATCTTATTGCAGCCTTCCAGTACTTAAAGGGGCCTACAGGAAAGCTGGAGAGGGACTTTTACAAGGGCGTGTAGTGATAGGACAAGGGGCAATGGCTTTAAACTGAAAGAGGGGAGATTTCAATTAGATCTAAGGGAGAAATTCTTCACTCTGAGGGTGGTGAGGCACTGGAACAGGTTGCCCAGAGAAGTTGTGGCTGCGCCATCCCTGGAAGTGTTCCAGGCCAGGTTGGATGGGGCTTTGAGCAACCTGATCTAGCAGCAGGTGTCCCTGCCCATGGCAGGGGGGTTGGAACTAGATGATCTTCAAGGTCCTTTGCAACTCACACCGTTCTATGGATTCTATCCAAATTGCTGATTTGGCAATTTTTGGCACCAAACTGTAAGAGCAATGTGGCCTCTTTCCATATCAGATCATGTTTCTTTTGTTGCATGCGCTTGACAATCAATTCTTTAGGGAGTTTTGTTTAAATTGTTTGGGCCTAGGCAAACGTGCATCTTGGCTGAGTTTTTGAGGGTTACCAGAGCTGGTCACCTGGCTTTATGTACTTCAGGACAAGGATTCTGTCTACTTGCTTGATTTCTTCCATTACTTTAGAAATACAGATTTTTACTTTTTTTCTTCAATAAGTACTCTGTAAAGCTCTGCTAGAGTGAGTGACACAAGCAGTCGGAGTAATTTCTGCAGATGTTACTTGTTTTCTTTCTAAAACATTAAATTTTTTTACAGCTTCGCTACGGAAAAGCCAAAATCACGTGCATGCTCTGCCAGTAGCACTTGTTTTGTTTGTAGACCTACTGAGGGCATCATTTGTCACTGGTTTAGTGAGTTTAACTGTAAATAAATATATCCACAAATCAAAACATATTTCTCAGTAACCTCTGTATTTGTGGATATTTTAACTTTCTACTTTTCCTTGGTACTGCAGTTTGGCTTTCCCTGGTGGAGTGATAGGCCACTGTCTGGTTTAAATTTGGCTTGGCAAGTTTGCTATCCTTTCTTGCACGGCACTGAGCACGTCTTCACACATTCAACCACTGCCAAATTGTGTGTTTGGTGCTTTGTTTCCTGTTTGTACAGGGAGTCTTTTTTCTGAGACTACTGCTGAATTAATTTCTGCTTATCTGCACTATGTTAATGCCAGATATGACCAAAATGTTGTTTTCTGAGTCACTGCCTGCTTTCTTTAAAAAAAACAAGTTTTTCTTTCATTTTCTTCTCTGCGTACCTTTTCTGGCTACAACTAAGGCACTTGGCTAGTAGAAGAACATTTCTGAATTTGATTTCTTAATTCCTACATGTGGGATTGGGGAGATTGTGTCAAGTCTGAGTTCTTGCTCATTGCTGTGGTTCTGTACTTGTGCATTTATACTTGTATACTCAGGGCTCCCTGGTGCTTTTTGCTGAAGTATCTCTGTACCATCATACACAGCTGTAACTGGAAGCCTGATATTAGCAGGCTAATGGCAGGGTGCGTTGTCAAAAAGTAAGGATCGAAAACGTTCAACTGGCTGGCACTTTCCCTTCACCAATATTTTTATAAGTCTTCATAGGATAAAGCCTCAGACAAGGTAATTTGTCATAGTGCATCGAGGTTGACAATGCACAAAACAATATAATCCTAGAGATTAATATGTTAGTCCACTGATCTCTGCAGAGACACTTCTACTTACAACAGTGCAGTAAGATTTTCTTTACCTTAAAAACACATGAAACCCCAAAGCAAACCAAACCCCATAAGCTGAACAGTCACAACAAATATCAAAACAAACTCCCTATTACCACTGACTCTAAGTAAGCAACAAAGCCCCAGAGTTTCTCCTTATTTTTCTGTAAGACTTAGGGCAAGATTTTGAAACAAAATTAACATCCAACACTAAAATCTTATATTTAAAGCCTTTAAATGTGTGATCTGGTCATACCAGAGTTGAACTCACAGCATCTCCTTGTAACCTGTGAATATGAGAGCTACTGCATCAGCTTCATATACTCACAAAGCACATAAAGTACCCACCACCATAGTGTTGAGATGCTAGCAACTCTCTTCAAATTCAAATATTCCTAGTTGGACCCAGCTCTTCCCTCTGCACTTAACTGCTGAAGATTTTAATGCATTTACCTCTTCATTACTCTTTCTTCGTTAAATTTTGACACTATGAGAAGATATACTGTGCAGTGTTCAATAACATGAGCTGGAAAGAGTTCAAAGAACT